CTCTCTGCAATCAGCACATAAATGTATCTCTATATCGACTGTCCCGTCACATCTGATGTCAGATCAAAGGGGATTGGCACCGTTTGGCATGTTTGGCACGCGTAATGGAAACCCAACCTGATTTGATTAATACAGCTGCAAACTAGTGAGTTCACATCCCTCTCAGCCAACCACAAACAGCCACAGCATCAGATAGGGAGTATATATTCAGCATCTGTCATCTTAGAAAAGCCAAAAGAAAAGAAACAGAGTGAGACTGCGAGAGAGAAAGAGAGAGTGCACACGCACGAGAGAAACGCAACATTGATTTACGATTGTGGTGACCTCCTCCCAGGCTACCTTTGCATCATCAGCCCGTGGAGGTCTGCTAGCAGTTCCGTATATACGGACACTGCAAGCTTGGACCTCCCAGACCAAAACATCAGTTTCCTCCTGGGAGAAGTTTGGCTGTCTGACGCTGCTGCTCTCTTCTGCCATGGTGAATTGAGTAACTCTCATTATGCTTTCACGCAGCGCATTTAAGGGTGAGGAGAGGGGCTCATTTGATTGGTGTGATATGTGTAAAACCCACTCCACGTCTTCTCTCCTCCCTCTTTCCGACTTGCGCAGGTAGAAGGGACGGAGGTGGGAAAGAGGAGTAGCTGCGCCAGGTGCACGGTGTGCCAAACTTGCAAAATCCGTCTGGCCACACCCAGTTGGCGAAGCGAAGGTGCGCTGCGCCCCCGCCTTGCCCGGTCTGTGAAACTAGAGCCCTAGGTGTTTTACCGACATTTTAAGCTTATTTTACAAAAGACTGAATGCATATAATGAGCAGAAACTGTACATTTCCTGTGCAAACAAAAGTGTATTTTGAAAAGAGACAATGCATATAACTGGGGATGGAAATTGAGAACCGGTTCCAACTGGTTCAATTCATCGACATCATTAGCGTTTATCAGAGATGGGCAAAAATACATCAAAATACAAAATACTGGTGCCAGAAAATGTATCAAAATAAAATACATGTATTTTGTATTTTCAAATACAGAAAATACTTTTTTTTTCTTTTTCTTTTTAGCAGCGACCCGCAGCTCTATAGGTCACTTTGTCGGTCGGTCGGTTCACAAAGCTTTCCGTGAATAACTCAAAAAGTCCTTGACCAAAAATGCTCAAAATTTGCAAACTGCAAATAGAAACCATGAGTAACTATACCAGAAAGAATACCCACAATTCAACAAAAGGTGGCGCTATACTAACAGATTCAAATCTTTTTGTGAATAACTCAAAAAGTCCTTGACCAAAATATTCAAAATGTACATGCTGCAATTAGAGACCACAAGTAACTATGCCAGAAATAACAATCATGATTCATCCATTAATGGCATGATAATAGCAAATTTGGTTGCAGCTATTGCAAATTTACTCTTGTTTTCTCACAATTTGGTGTGGCAGTCTGTTGAACTTGGAAGATGTGAGCAGCAAGGTAGTCTACTGGTAGTGTGGGTCCATCCACGTGAGCAGCATGCCTGGCAAGTCTAGTCTAGCTGTGCTGTGAACTGTCCACCAACGGTCTAGCTAAACAGCAGCAAGATACTGTAGCTACTCTAGCTAGTTAACTTGTTTGCTGTCTAACTTGGAGCGTTTGGAGCCCTGTGTTCAACTTTTTTTAAATGAAAAAAGAAAAGAAATCTAGGGACATGTAGGCTACCCTAAAGTATTATTTATTGATTCAGATTTAGATTCAGACAACTTTATTGATCCCACGTGAGGCAATTCATTTGTAGCATACTCATCCCAAGCATCAACCACAACACCATACAATTTCCTATGTTATGCACAGTCCAGTAAAACAGACCACTAGGTCACTGAATGGCCCAAGTTTATTAAAATATATATATTAAAATATATATATAAAAAATAAGCAAAAAATATTGTGACATTCAATATTATAAGAATGTGTAGCCTATTATTTTTGTTTTTTGATTTGTGGAGAAAGTATTTTGAGTATTTTAAATACAAAATTACTCCACTCAAAAGTATTTTGTAACAAATTACATTTGCTTTTTATCGGCCTTATCAAAAACAAATTACAAAATACTCAAATGTAATTGAAATACGTATTTTAAATACAAGTAATAGAAATACTGCCTATCCCTACCACAGGCCATTTTGAAACAGTTTTTGTAGTGTGGCATGCTGCTTTTTTCTGCTGGGGGCCATTGCCATTGAGGAGTGCTGTTGCCATGAGGGGAGGTACTTGGTCGGTGTTTGAGTGGGTGGAACATGTTGGTATCCACATGAATGCCAGAACCAAAGGTTTCCCAGCAGAACAACGCATTGGAAGTTATTCACTTCACCTGTCAGTGGTTTTAATGTTTTGGCTGATCGGTGTATGCTGTTGGTTAGAAAATCATTACAACAATTATAGCAAATGCCTGTTACACTTCAGTGTAGTCAATGCAGTTTCCATTGGAAGCATAAGCTTCTTAATAAAGAAGCAATTCACACTTTCTCCTTGACACACCTCTGGGCAAACGTGTTTCCTTATATAGAGAATTAGGGGCGTGGCAATATGCTGATTGGACATGGCGAGCACGCGCCTGTCAATTTAGAAGGATTCTGTCATACTCAGTGGTGGTGCGCACGTGTCATAAATCCGACGGTAATTTTGCGTGCGCGCGTATGTTATACGCAGTGTAAGAACATTTTTACGCACACAGCCTATCAGTGAATGAGGCCCAATGTCTGGTGGTTTCTGCTTCTCACTGTGCGCGCCCCCGCTGGGTGCACAGTGTATGCAAATCTGGGCAGGTTGGCACAGCTCGGCACCGCATCCGTTATGCTCAGGTGCATTTGACGGCTGTATGGGTACATAGGTACTGCATTAATTTATTTAAGCACCGCGAAATGTAAACGAATTTCCAGTTAACATGGGAGGACGCACATTGACCCTGGAGAGTCACACTAGCGGAGATCTCAACACTTTCCTCCTCAGTTTGGTTGAGTTTTGCGTCGATTCAGTCACCACCTGTTTCTCCCATGACGCAGACAAACTTTGCGTCTCCATCGGTCTCAGCTCTCTGTCTGCGCTGGTTTTACTGCTGTCATGCCTCCTGTAAGTACTGTTTTCATTCAGCAGTTATTACAGTAAATTGTTGGAAACATCCTAGCATTGAACCTGTGTTCTCTCTGTAAGGCTCGTGTACCAGAGCTGCACGTTTCGGGGAGAGAATCCGGGAGGAACCTCCAGTTTCCTCTATAGCCTCCTCGGTAACATGTGCAGCACAGTTGGAGCCATTCTGTCGAGACAGCTGCAGATTCAAGTAATAGTTTTAATCACTGTACTTTTTTTTATTATCATTATTATGTTGGATGCAATAATAACTTCTTTCTGCTCCCTCCTCTGTAGGTTCTGTTGGGTGCTTTTGCTGCTGCCCTGGATGCTGTCACTTTCATGTCATGCTGCTGCCATGTGCTGCTGTGCTGGAACTCAAAGGCAGGTGAGTTTAGAGAAATGCCATATCTGGGCAATCATGCAAACCTTGTCATTCTCAAACAATCACTCAGCTGTGCACTGGTGAAACAAACTTGATAAAAGTAGCACCGGTGTTTGTAGTGTTAGCACCCAACTGGCCAAACCCTTTAGGCAAAGCGGTGAGGAGACTTATCAGAGTTGCTCTACAGATAACAAACAAATGAATAGAGGATGTGTTACAGCTGCAAAAATTTCCCTCTTGCGCGTGTTCTTCCTCAGAAAGGAGGCTGAGGATGAGGAGGGGGCGGAGGAGACAGCACCTCCTTGCAATATGTGTACTGATGGTGGTTGCAGGAGGGTTTCTGAAGTCAAAGGTGGCCCAACAACCAGCGGACAGACCTCTCATCAGGAGGAGGCTGCAGCATTTCGCTCTTCAAGTAGGCACACACCACCACTGTGGCTAGCTGTACTCCCTTACTTATATGACTTAGTTCATGGAGAAATGCATTTACATGTAGTGATGAATGTAATGTGTTTGTGCAGTGATACTTTACTCATGTGGCACTTAGTAGTTTTATATACTCAGTAGTTCATATGTTTCACAGTATCTTCAATTTTCACACCGTGGATGAACATTCATCTTCTTTAGTATGATCTATTTAGACTAAATAACCTTACCTCATATTGTATCTAATATTATAAAACTGTTCTTCTGACAGGACAACACTGAAATCCTTGGTTACATACTTGGCCTGCTGTCCTTTGTCATCGCCTGCACCTCCAGGTTCCCTGCACTCTGCAGAGCAGTAAGTGACAACGAATACAAGTGTGTTTTGATGTCAGAGCTTCTTCTTATTGCTTTCCCAAAATTGTTCCCAGTGTTATTAAACTGATTTTAAGGGAATGACATTTACTGTCTCCCTTTAGTATAGAGGACAGATGTTGACCTGGGCCTACGTGATCTCTGGACTGCTGTGCTCACTGGCTGGTGCCCTCTATGCTGCTGCCATACTCCTGTACGACACTCAGTTTGGGTTTCTTTTAAGAGTCATGCCGTGGTTGCTGTCAGCAATATGCTGCATCGCCCTGGACCTTCTTGTATCCTTATATAGCGCAGTGTGTGACCGCATCTTACTCACTCTGTCAGGCTCAGGGCTTCAGCTAAAATAAAAAAAAATTTGCACATGTGATGGTTTACTACATGTTTGCATAGATATTTATTCCGCATCATTACCATAATTTCAGGAGGTGCTTTGCCTTTTTGCAGTTGTGGATACTGAAAACATTTTGAACAGTCACCTCAGAGTCAAGTCTGTCAGTGTATAAAGCTTTGAAGTGCACTTCTCAAAGTGTGCCACTAGGTGGTGACAGCATGTTGATATTTAGCGTATTGCATGGCTACTGTGAAAGCACACTCTAAGGCCACTTTATTAGGTACACCTGTTCAACTGCTTATTAATGCAAATGGCTAATCAGCCAATCACGTGGCAGCAACTCAATGCATTTCGGCAAGTAGACATGGTCAAGATGACCTGCTGAAGTTCAAACTGAGCACCAGAATGGTAAAGAAAGGTGATTTAAGTGACTTTGAACGTGGTATGATTGTTGGTGGAGTATTTCAGAAACTGCTGATCTACTGGGATTTTCACACACAACTATCTCTAGGCTTTACAGAGAAAATATCCAGTGAGCAGCAGTTCTCTGGGTGAAAATGCCTTGTTGATGCCAGAGGTCAGAGGAGAATGGCCAGACTGGTTCAAGATGATAGAAAGACAACAGTAACTCAAATAACCACTGGTTACAACCAAGGTCTGCAGAAGACCATCTCTGAACCAACAACATGTCGAACCTTGAAGCAGATGGGCTACAGCAGCAGAAGACCACACCAGGTGCCACTCCTGTCAGCTAACAACAGGAAACTGAGGCCACAGTTCACACAGGCTCACCAAAACTGGACAATAGAAGACTGGAAAAACATCACCTGGTCTGATGAGTCTGGATTTCTGCTGCTACATTCAGATGGTAGGGTCAGAATTTGGTGTACACAACATGAAAGCATGGATCCATCCTGCCTTGTATCAATGGCTCAGGCTGCTGGCGGTGGTGTAATGGTGTGGGGGATATTTTCATGGCACATTTTGGGCCCCTTAGTACCAACTGAGCATGGTTTAAACACCACAGCCTACCTGAGTATTGTTGCTGACCGTGTCCGTCCCTTTATGACCACAGTGTACCCATCTTCTGATGGCTACTTCCAGCAGGATAACGCACCATGTCACAAAGCTCAGATCATCTCAAACTGGTTTCTTGAACATGACAATGAGTTCACTGTACTCCAATGGCCTTCACAGTCACCAGATCTCAGTCCAATAGAGCACCTTTGGTGGTGGAACGGCAGATTCACATCATGGATGTGCAGCCAACAAATCTGCAGCAACTGTGTGATGCTATCATGTCAATATGGACCAAAATCTCTGAGGAATGTTGCCAGCACCTTGTACTCACAAGGTGTACCTAATAAAGTGGCTGGTGAGTGTATAAGTAAATATAATAGGGTTTTGGGCTGCTGTTTGCTTGTGCTGTAACACCTTGTGAACTGGATGGATGGATGGCAAACTGGGACAGTAAGTTAAAATACCTCTGCACAGAATACAAGAAAAAACCTTAGCATACCCTTTAAATATAAGCTGTATATCTATTGAATATCTATACACAGTATAAAGACAATACTGCACTACTGGAATGTATGAGAAGTTTATTGATTTTCCGTCAGGTGTGATCTGTTAACCTTAAACCCAACGTTGTCAGATTCTTGTCATTCATTTGTGCAAGAGAGGAACAAGACGGCAGCTCACCAGTTTATCTCCAGACACAGAGAGCCTTTTAGGTGGCTCAGGCACTGAGGATAACGCGGTCATGAAGAGACAGAGGAAACAGCAAGTTCAGTCAAGTTCAGCACAAACAAAAGTAAGTTTCCATACTTCACTTTAAGGTCCTAAATTTTTCCTAAACTCTAGGAACTGTACAGGAATCTTGATCTCAGTGAGAGTTTTTGAGTAAATTGAGCACTTACTGTTTATATTTAGCATTGACATTATAGGAATTTCACGCATGAAATCGTCTTGATCTGTGAGCTTAAAGCTGAAATAAAAGCTGCAGGGATTCCTCCGCAGGTCCAGAAGATGACAGAGATGGGACGCTACATGGACGTCAGTGCTCAACCTGCAAGAAAAGTGAGCAAAGAATCTGTGTTGGCACAGACTGCATATGTTCTTCACCTCAGTCAGTGGTCGCTCTTTCAGCGAAATATATGTATTTTCTATTTAACAGATATTTCTTAAGGAGGTGATGCTGTCCAAGGAGAAAACGGAAGACCGGCCTCTCAACAGGATGATGCGAGTGATCGGAGTCAACAGTTTCTGCTCCTCAGATACGTCCTGTGAATCTTCGCCGGCGAGCTCTGATCTGGAGGTGGGTTGGAGCCCTGTTTAGCCGTGTTGGTGAGCAGTGTGACATTTTTTTTACAAACTTGAATCTCCTGCTGTCCTGTGAAAAAAATACTAAAATTGCATAATGTTGCAGTTAACTTAGTTATAAAGTGTACTTCTCATAGTGTGCCACTAGATGGTGACAGCATGTTGACACACTGTGTTGCATGACTGCTATGAAAGCATGGATGAATATACGGAGTGTTTGCTTTTGACTTGTTCTTTATTACCTTGTGTGAACGGTTGTGATTACTTGAATCTTGATCTCTACTTAGTTTATTACCTAAACCTTTTAATCTATTGCCTTTTTATATGGGCTTATGTAACAGGTGTTTCCCCATACAACACAGCGCAGACGTTTATGAAGAGGTGAAGGTCCAGACATTGTGACTGACCTACTTAAAGGGTTAAAAAAAACAGTTTCTGTTTTCTGTCCGTCTAGTTCAAGTATCTCTGGATCTACATACTTCCAGTCCCCATGAGATTAGAGTAGCACTGTGTCTCCAGGTCCTTTAAAAAGTCTTAAAATGATTTAAATTTAAATGTTACAAATATTTGCCCTTGAAAAGTCATTTAATAAACTTATATTTGAATTTGTGTGCTTTTAATTGCCTCAGACATTTTGTCTAATTTTATTAATCCACCTTAATTTCTCATTTTTAAAATGTAGATCAACCCAACTTACCTTTATACTTAACCTTATGTGCTTAACTGAGAAACTTATCCAAAAAGCTGTGTTTGATTTGGTGTAAAATGATCTTTAAAAGGTCTTAAAATGCATTAAATTTATGTGTCTGGTAGATACCTTTTATGGGATTAAATGCCACATATATTAAACTGAGAAGTTGTTATGAGCAAATGAAAATTCAGCACTTGGAGGAAGTCATAAGAAGAAGTAAGGGTCAGTGTTTGTGCTGCTGCGCACCAAGCTTTGTGCTTCTCACATGTGATTCTCAGGGAAGTCAGTCAGACTGTAGTCAGAGGTTTCTGTAAGAAGACAACAGTCAGCACACTCTTTTTAGGATTGATGAGTCAAACCCTGCAGAGAGACCTTTGTTTGTTCATGCAGGATTGTGGCAAAAGTGTACGGAGAGGATATTTGTGAGAAGCAGGGTTTGTATTTGAACTGGTAATTTCAAGTAAAGTGAAACGTGGCTTCACTCTGCAGTGTGCAACTGTGCCCAGAATTAAATATCGGCTACATAGCGACAGTTAGCATTTCTATAATTTCCCGTCTTAGAAAAGGGTTAGTTTTCAGGGAGAGTGAAATTACAAGCTTCTTCCTTTTCAGGCGCTCACAGCCACAAGAGAAACTCCCTTACTGTTCTGCTGCAGAAAGCCAAGCCATGGAGGATGCCATTTAATCAGAAACAAAGGCAAATGGTGTGAGCACAAACAATTGCAGCTTGATAGTGTTCACCAGACAGGAAAAAGCAAATGACGTGAATGCCCTTAGTGCAGTCAGTGTGTCAAACAAGTAAGAGGGCTTTAACAAAGTGTTCAAAATGTACTGTGTGTTCATGCTGGATGTGGAAAACCATACAACTTTGTTTGGCTGTGTGAAAACTCCTCCTCTTTAACCTAACCTAATCTCAGCTCTCATTGGTCGGTGAAGGTCTCTTTGCCTTGAAAACTACAAAAGCGTCCAAATATTCAGTGTTTTGGGGGCAGCTCGGATTAGTCTGCGAGTCTGTGAAACCAAATCTCTTCAACTCCTGCTAATCTTTGTTGATCACTTCTGAACAAACACGACAGCAGGTAAATTCATAGAGTCGTCCCTCCCTCTGTGGCAGCTTTCCACGTGCTAGTTATTATTAACAGAAGCTGTTTACTTAGTGATTCAATAGAAAGAAGGTTTCCACAGTGTCTAATGTTTAATCTCCAACACATAGAACTCCACACGAGTCCCACTGCCCATTCACTTTTTATTTGATTGCAAAACTTTTCCACTACATTAAACCCAGCGGTTGCTCAGCTGAAAAAAGTCTCAAGGCAAGCTGAGGACAAAGGGGAAGAGATCATAGTGCTAGTGAGCAATTTTAGATGTATTTACATGTAACATGAATTAAAATATTGTCTGCTTTTCATGTCATCACCATAATTGCTGATCATGATAAAACCGCACAGCATTTGGAGTGTGCTGCCTGCATTCACTGAGCAGTCAGAGCTCACCGCAGCAGCTTGAGTTATTGTGCCGTGTGTTTCTTTCACATATCTGCTGAGTGCCGGTTCTTTGCTTGGAATTGTTTGAGATTTGCCTTGTGGCCCAATTGTTCTCCTGTAAAGGATCTTTGATTAAAGACCAGCACTGGGTTGGGCCTGTCTACCTCGGAAGTAGTGCAAAATGGTTGCCTTGTCTATAGGGAGCCAGTGTTACCCTCTGCTATTTTTGGAGATGTTTATGGTCTCTTGTGTAATGCCTGCCGGCCAGGACTCGGCTCTGTGTGTGTGTGAGCAAGTCTTAGCCCTTTGCATTCTTGACATTAAGCTGATTCTCTTACACAACTCGAGTCATAAAAAAGCATTTCATTTCAGGATGTGTAATAAGTAACCAGTGTTAAAGGGGATAAGGATCAGAGTCTCAGAAAAAGTAATAACAAATATTCTAATGCTCAGGAAATGATTAGGTAAGACAGAGCACTAGATGAAGGGCATTTGCAACGTGGATACAGCTGAGATGGTGGGAGCCAACTGCAGCCACTATGAGACATCTGTCAATTGGGGGGAAACCCCAAAATAGGGTTACTTTGGTATTTTTCAACCTGGGCTCCATTTCGCCATATTTTTGTGTCTAAGTAACAATTGGTCCCATTTTTATCGAGAGTGCTACAGCTGGCAGTGGCGAAACAGACTGCAATGTAATAGTAACGGGCAATTAACCCTTAGCTAAGTCCTGCCCCTGGGCGCATACTGGCCAATCATAACGTCGCATTGAGCCAGCTCAAACCAGGGTCCGACAACAACACAGCTGTGCTCCATTGACTCTAATGCAATCGTTTCAGGTTTCCTTCATTTCCAGGCTGGTTTTGTGGATTTGGAGCTAAATGTTGTGCCTGGGGCACGTTGTGTATTAATGATACTCGTTACCTGGAGAGGTTGGAAAAAGATATAAGTTTCTTCCCTGTTCCAAAACCAAAATCAAACTCTGAAAAGTGTAGGGTTAGCTAGCTAGCTACTGAAGATATAGCCTACTGAATGTATACACATGCTGCTTTTGCTTTTTAATGATTATAACAGTGAAACAAAGACCGACCCTGCTGTACAGGAACCAGTGAAGGGAAGCAGGGAAACTTTGCTGATATTCAGATCCCTGCCTGTCCTGTGGCGGAGGTCCGGGTGCTGGCAGCAGCACGTGGGTGAAGCCAAACACTGTTCATCTGTACACACTGCGATGCCACACAGCTGGTTCAGTATTGGTGAAGTTTCCCTTTATATTCATTGTCTTCTGTGGCGATCAGCAGTGATGTGGTGGTTCACTATTACACTGTAATCTGTAGCATATAGTTAAGCTTTAGCTTCAAACTATCTTTGTCTTATTAACCTGTTGTTGCTGCTGAGTCAGTTTGACATCCTGGATATATCCTTCAAACACAGACTGTAGACCCCTCTGTCTGCTTCTCTCTGGAATCACTGTTTCATTTCTCCAAAAACATGATAATATTTCTTCAGATAGTGCAGTTAGTTACAGTGTGGGCTCCATGTTTGCTGCGACAGCTTGTCAGACCATCAAAAAAGGGGCGGGGTTTATCAAAAGGTCAGTTGTGCACTGTCAATATACTTAAGTGAAAAATGCTTGTTTTTGACACAGATTGTTACTTCAAGTGTCTGAAAACATAATGGAAAATAACCGACAGAGACAGACTTGAGTAAAATCCTTTTTGTTTAACCAGAATCCATCCTGAAATTGCTAATGCTAATTGCTAACAGAAACAAACCAAAACTTGTTTCATTTCTCCAATGTTCCAAGAATGACCAACTCAGGTTTGAAATGATTTAACCTAGATGGATGTAAAAAATAATGACTCTGTACACGCTAAAAGTATTGTTTATTTAAACAGAGTCTTGTTGGTTTGCTAAACCTATTTAAAATAATCTGAGCAGGTCTGTGACAACAAGGGCACTTTTACTGGACATAAACTGATGGTGCTCAAATGCCCCGAGTGTTTACATTGTAGCCTGTTTTGCAGCTGTGGGCTGCAGCTATCTTCCTCAATACTTGTCCATATTAATATCTTGACCTGTCCATATTTTACAGTGGGATTTTGAAGAGGCAAGTGCAGGGTGGAGTGACCCAAAAGCAAAGCAACAGAAGAGGGACGAGTTTCCACCTCAAGAAGTGCCAGCAAACCCAAGACCCTTCAACATGTGCACCTGTGTCATGTTCAGACCCCCACAGAAAGCTCTGTCATGCACCAAAGAGGGTGAGAGCATCACTGCGGCAAGTCTGGCAGAATGACAAAGGAATGCCATTCTCAATTAGTAATGTGATACACATCTGGAGCATTAATTTGAGGGGAAATAAAACATGGAAACACTGACCTGTTATCTGTGTTGTTATATGTGTTTACTTCACAGTTTAGCTAATGTGTGTGTAATCTGTCTAATCACATCAACAGGCCAGTGTTGGTAAAATGATGGTGAAAGGATGTTGGGTGCTGCACCACTTTGTCTGTCAGCACACAGGCAAATACAGCTATTGTCAAAACCTGCCTGCATTCATCAAGCTCCCTGAGATCTGTTGGATGGTTTACAGAAAAGACCTCCCCTAATAAAACAATATTGCGACCCTGCTGCCTTGCAGGGTTATTGGGTCATATCCTGTATTTTGCTAGTCGACCCGGGTTATCAGGGCTGGACTGGGAAAAGGCCCGGCGGGGTAGATAAGCACCAGACTAGACGGCCAGGGCTCCTCTGTCCTCTCCATCATCCCTCAGACTTGTGTCCATCTGTCTGCTGCGAGGCTTTAGATGATGTTAGTGCAACAGGACATTTTTAACTGAAGGGACTTCCTTTAACCTGATAACGGAACAATACACAGATTAGAGCAAATTTATGGAGCACATTTTACTCCTCCCTGTTACATTTCCTCAAGTGACATGTCTGAGACAAATAACTGGGAAACAACTAATAAGGTGTAACAAAGCAATTGCTGATAGCAGTGGAAATGTATGTAACTTTGCACCTTGTTTGTCATGTAAACATGATATCATAGGTCTAGTTGGGAGATGATTTAATAATATTGTCTATTTAATATCACCAATATCCTGTCAAGATATAATCTTAATCATTAATGTTCTACCAGCATATGTTAATGATTTACTGATTTTGTGAGGGGGTTTTGGTTTGACAAATACCAGGAATCTGGTCGCATGTGTTGCATAACTCTCACAAAAATTAACTGCTTAACTCATATTTTTCCTTTTATTGTGATTTTATATATACACAGCAAAAACTTAAACTCAACACGTTTGTTTTTGTTTCCATTTTTGACAGTTTTGAGTTACAGGTACAATACTTTTATGCACTCAATACATGTATTTCTCTAAACTTTTGGTACAAATTTGCTAAAATTCATGTTAGCATTTCTCAGTTTCCAAGGTAATCCATCCACCTGACAGGTGTGGTATATCGGGGTGCTGGTTAGACAGCATGATTACTACACAGGTGTGCCTTGGGATGGTCACAGTTAAAGGCCACTCTACAACATGCGGTTTGATCACAAAGCAAAATGCAACAGATGTCACAAGTTTTGAGGGAGCGCACCATTGGCATGCTGACTGTGGGAGTATTCACCAGAGCTGTTGCCCTTGAGCTGAATGTTCATCTGTTACCTTAAAGGGAAATTTCAGTTTATTTCAACCTGTCTCCTATCGTCCTAAATTTGTTTCAAGTGACTAGTGACATAAAAATAATAGTTAGCATGTTAGCCGTTAGCCTAGATACAGCCCGGGCGCATAGTAGCGTCAGACCTGTTAAAACGTAAGTGAACGGGCAACCTTCAAGTGCAAAGTTAGTCCACTAAACAAGCTTTTTCTCCACAAAGACCGCCTCATATCGTTAGGATAAATGTCAGAGAACATATAGAAAACGACATGTAAACGTGTTGTCTTACCTTACTGGTGTGGTGCCATGTTTGTTTACCATCTAGCTCTGCTTTCCAAAGCGCGGCCGCGAGCTCTAGATAAAGCCCAGCTGGATACTACTCCAGGTAGAGGTGTCTCGTCCTCGGTCACATCCAGACCTTGAAAATAAGGCTGCAACCGGTCCCATTCCTTGCAACAGAGGCATTCCTCTTCTGTGGGCACTGGGGCACAGCATTCACAGGTACACCACCAGTCTCCAGAGCTACGCAGCCTTGCAGCAGCCATTCCTCCTCTCTCGTCCTCTACCTGTTGCGCCTCTCTCTCTCTCCTCCTCCGTTCTTCAATTTCACGAAGCTCTTCGTCAGTGTATTCTGGCTCAAATAAATAAGGGCGGCCATCAAACTCTGCAAAATCAAATTCCTCCACAAAGTCGAAGTCTGGCAAAAAGTCAGCCATTATTCTATAAATCTTTAATAAAATAAATGAATGAACTTTTCAGGCTACTGTCCGGTTCTGCCTTCCAGCTGTTGCTGCTTGTTCTCGCGATATTTCAGGCACAGTATGAGATCGCTGCTTGTTCTCGTGATATTTTGGCCGCGCTTTGGAAAGCAGAGCTAGATGGTAAACAAACATGGCACCACACCAGTAAGGTAAGACAACACGTTTACATGTCGTTTTCTATATGTTCTCTGACATTTATCCTAACGATATGAGGCGGTCTTTGTGGAGAAAAAGCTTGTTTAGTGGACTAACTTTGCACTTGAAGGTTGCCCGTTCACTTAAGTTTTAACAGGTCTGACTCTACTATGCGCCCTGGCTGTATCTAGGCTAACGGCTAACATGCTAACTATTATTTTTATGTCACTAGTCACTTGAAACAAATTTAGGACGATAGGAGACAGGTTGAAATAAACCGAAATTTCCCTTTAAGCCATCTCCAATGTTGTTTCCCTGAGTTTGGCAGTACAACCAACCTGCCTCACAACTGCAGGAGTCGACTACAATGACAAACTGTTGTCAGGTCAAGACCTTGGTGAGGAAGATGAGCATGCAGATGAGCTTCCCTGAGATGGTTTCCGATGGTTTGTGCCAAAATTCTTTGGTTGTGCAAATCAATTGTTGCCTCAGCTGTTCGGTTGGCTGATTTCAGGCAATCTTGCAGGTAAAGACGCTAGATGTGGAGGTCTTGAACTGGAGTTGCTACATGTGGTCTGCAGTTGGGAGGATGGTTGGATGTACTGCCAAATTAACAGAAATGACTGTGGAAACAGCTTATGGTTGTGAAATGAACATTCAGTTTGCAGGCAACAGCTCTGGTGAACATTCCTGCAGTCAGCATGCTCTGGCACGCTCCATCAAAACTTGTGATATCTGCGGCATTGTGTTGTGTCATCGAACTGCACATTTTAAAGTGGCCTTTTATTGTGGCCATCCCAATGTCAATTATTCAGTTAGTACTGTGTGTGTATTGCTGTAACCATTTTGTCTTTAATACATGTGGGATGTGATTAATCAGCCCATGAAATGAAATGAAAAGCCATGCAGTGCTTCCGGCTGCGTAGGCCAGTTGACCATTGCTGATGGATCGGAATGTATCCCATGTGTGTAGTGCAGTAAAGAGGCCTGGAATCTGAGACGCTGAATAAGATCGAGCATTTAACACATAGTGGCTTTTTAAGTGGAGCTCATATTGCAAAATATGTCTCCTGAAGTGTACTTGTTAATTTTCTATGAATAGATTTATCTGTGTGGTTGTTGTACACCTGAGGACTTTAACTGTTAACCATCTTTGAAACAGACCTGGACACAATTTGCGGTTTTTCATCTGTATTTCTAAACAGATCCAATGAACTAAATAAAAAAAAGATCTGTTTGTATTTCGTTAATGCCATCTGAGTTCATGATGAATGCTGAGCTAGCGTTGCTTCATCTACTGGGCCTCATCTCTGTCCCTTCTGAGACTGGGCCGAAGCAAAACAAACTGTGTCCCATATAAAAAGGTGGAATTCTGTTTGCAGTAGTGATGAAGAGCATGGATTAGCACATCTGAAGCAGCAGTGGGGAATGGGTCTTTCTGTTTTTCTTGGCCCGTGCGTCAGCGATCACTCCACTGCAGAGGACATGGAAGACACTGGATGATTTGAGCCTGCAGGACATTTTGTTCACCTTGCAGGGGGGAGGAGGGAGAGGGGAGAATGTTCAGGAGTAAATCAAAATCCTGAATAGTAGCAGAGTGAAACTGAATGCTGAGTAATGATTACCTAGTTGTTACTGAATAACTGCATTAAGGCTTATATAATAGTGAGTTGCTTCAGAACTTAACACATAGCCCATAGATTAGTTTTCTTTCGAAGAACTTTTCTCATGTCTAAAAAAATAACCCTGGTTACGTCTTAACTTGAGCGCAAGACTTTGAGTTATATAACTAGGGACATGGCGTTCAAAACCCATGGACACCGGGCTTTTGGCTGCATTTTGGAAAATATGTTAATGAAACTTTACTCACATTAGGGAGTAAAAGTTAGGATCTCTTGGCCTCTGCTGCTTCGATTTTGACCGTGCTTCATTTACTCTCTGTCTCTCCTGCAAGTCCCTCAACTTCGTGGTGGAGTAATGCTGGAGAGTCTGTTTGAGGAACTAGCATTAGGAAGTTCTTAGATGTTTCTATATTTGCTCAATGAACATGACTGGATTAACATGTTTGTTGGGCCCTAGAGCCTAAAATTTGTTTGGCTCTGTACTTTGTTTAAGATCCAGAATATCTGGTCAACTTCCGGATCCCGGATCGTTTAAGTGTAAAGTAGGTTAAGTTAATCTGATCAAACAACTCTGACTTACTTTTAGTGATATACACCATGCGAACACAACATTAACTAAATATGATAAAGGTTTTAAAGGAGCACTGTGTAACATAACGGGTGATTTAATGGCATCTAGTGGTGAGGATTGCAGATTGCAACCAGCTGAAACTTCTCCCAGTTACATTTCTGTCAGTGTTCATTGCTCAGGAGGTTTTCACTGGGGTCTCTTCCTCTCCAAAACAAATGGAAACTCTGAATAAAGCAGTGTCACGTTACAAGTAAGTGTTACTCTAATGCTGTTTGGCTCATTGGAAACGGGTCGCTCACCTAGCACCTGCTAATATGTATTCACCTTTTTTCTCTGATAATTAAGGATCCAGACATTTAGGTTTTTTTTAAGAGGGCACTGAATTATACACAGAGGTCTCTTTCTCTCCAAAACAAATGGACCTGGTGTTTTAAACCGGTAAAAACACTGAATAAAACAGTTTAATGTTTAAAAATCGATGTTTTTCCAACGCTGCTGGTCGTGGAGGGGATGCCAACTATGGTGGCCAATGCGGAAACACAAAAAATGGCCCTATTTAGAGCCGGTGTTTGGTTTGTCTGTTCTGGGCTACTGTAGAAAAATGGGAGTTCAACATGGCGGATTCC